ACAGCGGGAGCGGGGGGGGGGGGGGGTGACCCCAATCTTACCAAATGATAATGTCTTCATAGACAAGAAAGGCTTCAAGAAAGGCTCACACACAAAAAAAGTTGAACTCTGTTCAGACCCTGAGGTAGAGAAAATGAGAATGGCCCCCATAGGCTCATATATTTGAATGCTTAGTGCCCAGTTAATGGGACTATTTGGAAAGATTAGGAGGTGTGGCCTTGCTAGAGGAGATGTGTCATGGGTGGGATGCATCTGAAAGGTCTCAAAAGCCTCAGGCTATTCCCTCTGCCTTGTGCTCATGGATCAAGATGTAAGCATTCAGCCACTGCCGCCAGCAGCACCATGCATGCCTACCACCATGCTCCCCGACATAATGGACTCTAATCCTCTGAAGTTGTTAAGTCCCCAATTAACTCTCTTTTTGTTGCCTTGGCCATGGTGTCTTATCACAGCAATAGAAAAGTAACTAAGACAATTCCCTACTGCCTCCTACACCATTTTTTTTAAGTAGGACAGAGTGCAAACACAGTATTCTTTTAATCATTCTCAACATTTCCATTAAAAAAAAAAACTGTAGAAAGAAATATATCAATAAATATTCCCACGCCTCATATATACTAAACCATTTTTAAAATTATTTTGTTTGTTATTGTGTATGTGTTAGGCTCATGTGCAGAGGTCAGAAGTCAATTTTTGGAATCAGTTCTCTCCTTCTACCAAGACTTCTAAGGACTTACAAGACTGTTTTTATCCACTAAGCCAACTTGCTGGCCCAGTTAAGTGTTATTTAATTATAGTGCTGTTATTAATATAGACTTGACATTGGATAATCAATTAGGGGCTCTTCCCTGACGAAGATAATTTCTCCTATACTCAGCATTTCTTAGTCACATGTAGTTTTTGTCTAAGATTGAGGCCCTTGGAGCTTTTCCATGTCCACGTTACCAAGACTATTGGTGTTATCCTTGTTCAGGTCTTACTTAGGTAGTAATGCCTCCTTGACATTTTTAGGAGATACAATCTCACAGCAAACTTCCTATTCCTCTGGCCCTTACATTCTGTCCCCTCCTCCACAATGATTCCTGAGCCAAATGCTGTGACTAAGCATTATACAATATCTTGTTCTCTGTATTTTGCTAAGTTTTGTTGCCTATCTGTTGCAAAGAGAAGTTCTTTTGATTACAGGTGAGAACTACACCTACCTGAGGGTATAAGGATAAAGTTTTAATGTCTATCTGTTGAAAAAAGAAGTTCTTTTGATTACAGGTGAGGGTTTAAGGATAAATACTTAGAATGTTGTTAGGCGTTTTGTTTGTTTAGTAAAGTGGCAGTTGTAGGGTCTCCTCCAAGACCATGATTTCACTAGCCCTATGTAGTTGGCTAGGTTTCCAGTACAAGACCATGTTTCCCTCTTGTTGAGTAGTCCCTAAGTCCAATGAGAGAGTTGGTTTCCACCAAGGTAAACATGCCACCACTACACTATAGGATTTTTGCATCATGTAATTGTTGTCCTGCACAGGTATCAAAACTGGGTAGAACATGGTTGCTTCCCTCCCTGGGAGCTTTCATGCCCCCCTTGATACTACGAAAGCTAGTTACCTTTCAGGTCAGATCAGTGCAGGCCCTGAGTCTTCTTCAGAACTAGGACTAAGCTGTCATATTATACACATGTGTGCAATGAGGAGAGGGGAAGGTCAACAGCTAAGGGGAAAAAAGCCATGAACTTGAGAGTAAAGGAAGTATACATGGAAGGGACTGGAAAAGCGATATGATTATAATTTTTAAAATTATTTTAAAAAGACAGTTAATAACTACTTTACAAAAGTCTGGTTCTGTACTTCATGTATTACATAGACTCTTAAAGGACGGGAGAAGTACTGGGAGTAGTAACAGCACTCTTTACACACACTTTACCCAGCAAGCTATACCTAAAATAAACATTTCACAATTGCTTCAGAGTTCTCAGTTTAAATAGCCACTCAACAGTTTAAAGCCATTGTAAATGAGCACTTGTGCATGGTAGGAGACATACCACTTACCATCTGATACTCCTTCTCTTCTTCTGTCATCTCCGGCTCACTGTGCTCTTCTTGGGGAGCTGGAGATGGACTTCTGGTGACTTTCCCACTACTAACAGCCTCAGTGTTTTCAGCATCTTCATCTTCTTCATCACTATCCTATGAAAACAGCATGCGAGCACAGATTTAAAAGTTGAGGAAACAAACACAGCAGCAACTGCTTCCTAAATTACTGTTTTAATTCTTTTTTGGTGTTGGCTTCAAAGATGTTAAACATGTAGTCTATTGCTGACCTTTACCTCCAACCTCTTTAAATTACATTAATTGTTCCTGTTATATATTTCAGACAATCTTTTTCAACATATTTTTCCCCTCGAGAAACCAGCTTCAAACTCATGACCCAGCCTCATCCCCTGAGAATAAATCCTGAGAGCTGAGTATATGCCACCATACTCAGTTCTGAATTTGTACTATTTCACTTAGTAATTGAAAGTGTAAACCTAGGGTGGGTTAAGATTATAAAAAGTTTGGATTTTTTTTTGTTATTTTTGTTTTTTCAAGATAGGGTTTCTCTGCATATCCCTGGCTGTAGACCAGGCTGGCCTTGAACTCAGAGATCCGCCTGCCTCTGCTTCCTGGGTGCTGGGATTAAAAGCGTGTTTGTCACCATGCCCAGCTATAAGTTTATGAAAGCAGTTATTTTTTTTTTGTTTTTTTCTCCATTATGAATTCTGACCTCTTATGTAAATAATACTGAATATGCATCAAACGCAGAGATGACTGAGTCAGTGAATGACTTCCTGAGACAAATGCTGGCAGAACTTTGGATACACAGACCACAGTTTAATTTCTACAGTATTAAATACTTAACTAATTTCCTATTTACTTAACATGATTTAATAATAACAAATCCCTGGCCAGATCCAAAAATCTCAGCTTGTTCTGCCTGAAACTAAGTTCTCTTTCTCTCTCTTGGGTTTTTGTTTTTGGTTTTTTGGTTTTTTGGTTTTTCGAGACAGAGTTTCTCTGTGGCTTTGGAGGCTGTCCTGGAACTAGCTCTTGCAGACCAGGCTGGTCTCAAGCTCGCAGAGATCCACCTGCCTCTGCCTCCTGAGTGCTGGGATCAAAGGCATGAGCCACCACCACCCAGCATCTCTTTCTCTTTTTTAATTACAAAAAAGTTTTATTTATCTTCATTTTTATGCTATGTGTATGGATGTTCTGTCTTGTGCACCATGTGCCTGTAGAACACAGAAGAAGGCCTTGGATCTCCTAGGGTTGGAGTGACAGATGGTTGGGCTGCCATGTGAATGCTGGGACTCTAACTCAAGTTTCCTTTAAGAGCAGCCAGTGCTCTTAGCCACTAAGCCACCACCCCAACTCCCCTAAATTAGGTCTTTTTTACTACATTTGACAGATAGATAAGAAACTAGGTCTACTTCAGATTTCGAAACTATATATGATTTTAATACCAAGAAACCACAGACCATATGGTCACTCTTAAAAACTGTACTGTACTAAATTAAAAAGCAGATGATCATCTAAATACTTCCACGTTCTGTAGAGTACTAGAACCAAGGGACAAACATATACATCACAAACCCAACATAGGAAGATAGAGGAAAAACAATTCTCTAAAACAGTGGTTATCAATCTGTCAATAGCAACCCCTTTAAGGATCACCCAAGACCATTGGAAAACACAGATATTTATAACAGAAGCAAATACAGTTATGAAGTAGCAACAAAAAACAATTTTATATTTGGAGGTCACAGCATGAGGAACTGTATTAAAGGGCCACAGCATTAGGAAGGTTGAGAACCTCTGCTCTAAACAAAAGCTGACAAACAATCAAACCAAAACCAACCAACCAAGTACCGTGGAGGTCAACTATTTTGTTTGTTTGTTTGTTTGTTTTTGTTTTTGTTTTTCGAGGTAGGGTTTCTCTGTGTAGCTTTGTAGCCTATCCTGGCACTCGCTCTGGAGACCAGGCTGGCCTCACAGAGATCCGTCTGCCTCTGTCTGCTGGGATTAAAGGCGGGTCACACATCTTTATACAGGGCTAATTTCCCCTCTTTCCTGATGTTTCTGTTTTTATAACATCCAGAACAAAAGCTTTGGCATGGGTCTTTCGAGAAAAATAAAATCTATGATGTTTATAAGCAAAACAAATGTAGAACACAATGTAGGTATCCTGCTGTACTTAAGTCTTATTTCTGAGGCAGTAATCAGCTTTGAAATGACAGTCTATTTCTTAAGACAAACACTGGTTGGTTGGCACACCAGGTAACATCACTACAGAACAGATAAATTCCTAAACCACTCATGCCACATAACTAATGAATAAATGTTAAAAAGATTTAAAGCCTTTTAACCATCAATGCTTGTGTCAAAAAGTCTCAGTCAAAAGTATGTATTAAGACCTAGAACTCAGGAGGCAGAGGCAAAAGGATCTCTGTGAGTTCAAGGCCAGCCTGATCTACAAAGTAGAGTTCCAGGACAGCCAGAGCTGTTACACATAGAAACATTGTCTCAAAAAAAAAAAAAAATGTATTAAATATCTATACAAATTCTCAGTTAAACATATGCATTAAACAGCTATTGAAAGGTAAACTCATTTCTCTAGGTTATTTAACATTGTTTTGTTTTATATGACCCAAGGTTAGAGAGCTGGCTGCACCGTAACAAAAACATGTAGAGTTGCATATTAACATAAAAAATAACCAGAATTACATGGGATTATCTTTACAGGATGAACATTTTTAAAACTTATTACCTCCTCGCTTTTTTCTTTTACATACCCTCAATAACACACACACAAAAATATAAATTCCACTGACACAAATATAATAGTGGCACTCAAAGATAGTGAGTTCAATGGCAGCCTGAGGAAGTGTTTGAGACCACCCTGGGCCAAATTATAAGATCCTATCTCAGTGAAACAAACACAAAACAACATCAAAATCAAACTCCAAACCTCAATATACTTACCCCAAGAACTCTCAAGAAAACAAGTATTTTTCTGTAGGCTCAGGCCACTTTTCACACAGACAAAATTACCAATGTAATGTCAGGATCTACTTACAAATTTACTTCTCTGAGGTAAACGAGGGCCATCTCCTCCTTCAGCATCTTCTGTGGCCTTCTTTTCTTTTTTTGACAATTGTGAACGCTGCTGTTCCATTCTTTCTTTCTCTAATTTCTTCTGTTTTTCACGTTCCATTTTCTCAAGGCCTTCACGAATCCAGGCTGGAAGAGTCCTGCGTTTTACTGCATCTGTTTCACATAAGGGAAAAAATTCACAGGTTTCTGTGCTTCTATAAATGTCCTTAGTAAAATTCCTTTACCATTGTACTTTAAAAGTCATTCTTCTGAGCAGGAGGGAACACACTCTAAAGCTTTTTGCCAGGGCACAAGAGTGCATTCCACTGCCACCTCACTTCATGCACACAAAAGCCCAAGGTAAGTACTACTACTGCTCAACCACATTCATAAGTGAGGAAACTCAAGTTCAATGAGATAAAATGATGGGCTTGCTCAGGGTCAAAAGCCAGTGATAGGCTAATTCAGACCCAAATTCTTACACTAGGCTGCTTCTTAAAATATGACAACAGAGCAGAGTCATATTTACACTTCATTTTCATACTAAGAATTCACCTAGTTAAATTTGAAAAAGCAGTAAGCTACAATCTTCCTAAGAAAGGTTTATTTCCTAGCCCATTAAATGGTAGGTGATTTGAAACTTTTGAGATAAAATGTGGACTAAATATTGACTCGTCATTACTAGCTTTTTTTTTTCTTTTTTTCTTTTTCATTACTAGCTTTAATGGTATTTAAAAACTGATTTGTTGTTGTTGTTAAAGTACTCAGGGGAAGTAAATAATTAAAGGAAACCAATGTATCTCATAACTAAGACTGGAAGGCATAGAACACTGAACTATCAACACTGAAGATGCTATGGTTAGCAAAAATCTACATTATATCACAAACTGCTGTTTAAAGCAAATAATCTGAAAGAAAACTATACAATACCTTTTATATTTAGATCAGTATCTTTCTCTTTTTTTTAAGATTCATGACTATAAAATGATGGGGTTTTAAAATACCATTATTTCTACCACATCAAACCAGTGCTTGAACAACTTAGGAAACCAAAACATGGTTTTACCAGTGATAAAGACAGCATGGTAATGTGGTTCATGGAGCACTATTTAAATAGTTACCAATTTGGGGAGGCTCCTGCTTCACAGGAAGTGCAATTGGTGAGCGCTGCCGGTCCCTGAATGATGGTGGCCTCTCCCTTCGATTCTGTGCAGGTGCTGGAGGTCCTGGAGGTCCTGGTTGCCAATAAGGAGGATGAAATCCACCTTGCGGTGGACCAAAAGCAGCCCCATGCTGAAAGAGTATTGCATTTTAATTTTCCTCAATTTAATACATATACCCTCTGGGACACACGTGTGTTATGAAATGGGACAGTAGAAATCCATGTGTGCAGCAAATCCAAGAATTCCATGGTTCTAACATCCAACAGTACTTCTGTAGCCCCAAGAACCTAGGCTTATTTTTCTCAGGAAAGACAAAGATTTTCTGCCTATACAACTATAAACAGCATTCTACAACCCAGCTGATAGATTATTTAAGGACTATAGAAAGGCACATACACATACATAGTTATATATGTATACGAACCTTTTTATTCTAAATTCATTCATAAGCCCTAACACCACAAGGTAAAATAAATAAAACCCTTTGTTCTATCTCTCTTTTTTAAGAAAAGCTTTTGTTATAGAGGCTGATCTGAAACTCAAGAGCCTCAGAGGTGCTGAGGTAACGAGGTATCACCACACTTAACCAATTTTATTTAATCAAAAGCTGTTAAAAGCTACAGAACAATTCTGTTGTTGATAATTTCAACTTCCCACTGCTAATGAATTCAGGTTGTTTCTAAAGTGGTGCAAGATTTATTTCTTTACAACCCCAAAATGATACTGTATTGACTACTACAGTAAATGTTTGTTTCTCAATTATGCTATGTTAGAGGCCTTTTAGGAGAAAGCTGCCAACAGGCTCTTTTCCTTATTTCACAGGGGCTTCATCAGACCAAGCTAGGGTGAGAATGGGGCTTCTTGTCACTACATCCTTTCATAACGGAGCAAAAACTGTCACATGAATTCCAAGTTTGAATACACAAGAATCTAATCATGCAGTAATATAGAGGAACACCATCTTAACATGAACATATTATCAAATTCACCTTACAATTAATGCTTAAATACGCAGTTTCTAAAAATTTTAAATTATGACAGTTTAGTACATAAAGGCAAATACAATTAGTTTTTTCACAATGATATCTAGATTTTTTGTTTGTTTGTTTTTCAAGACAGGGTTTCTTTGTATGGCCCTGGCTATCCTGGAACTAGTTCTGCAGACCAAACTGTCCTTGACCTAACATGAGATAGCCTGCCTCTGCCACCCAAGGGCTAGAATTAAAGTCATATGCTACTACCTCCTGGTGACATCTAGATTGTTAAGGGTAGACTCTAGCAAAGAAGATTAAGAAAATAAAGCTCATAAAATAACACTATTCTCCATAGAGTTCTATGTCCCTAGGAGTGAGTTGAATGTCACAAAGGAAGCCATGAACAATTCCATTAATATGCTATGTAAGCACAGGGGAAAAAAACACTGAAAAAGAACAGTAATAGTTCTATATAATTCTATAACATTTAAATATATCACGTTAAAACTGGAAAACAAGACATATTATAACTATTTGCACTTATACATTTTTTACCTTATCTTATTTTTTTTCCTGTTTGTATCATTTTCCTAATCAACTAAAAATCTAATGATTTTAATGTTGACAGATTTTCTGACACTGCTTATGTGCTTATCCATACAATCCTGAAAATGACACAATCTTAGGAATTCTTGACGAGACATTTCCAAAGAATGAGTTAAGTGCATGTCTATGATAGTAAAGTAACAAAATATCTTTCACCTGATAGTCAAACTGGTTCACCGGCCCCACTGCAAAATTATCGGGTGGTCCACCAAAGTTGTGATTGTTCTGGTTAAATATATGCCTGTTGTCAGGGGCAAACTCCCCACTGTCCTGACTGTTGCTGTCTTCAGAGGGAGGAACAATGTCCATTGGGCCTGGTGTTGGTGGCATCCATGGCTGATCTGGAGGGGGATGTGGGGGCTGCTGATGCATTCCCCATTCTATTCAGGATTTAGGCATAAAGACATTCAACAGGGGGTTATAACAAAATCAATGCAACTTTTAAGATCTCAAGAAAGCTAGAAAAAGTTAAGACAGATTTTAAAAAGCAATTTATGACATTTTGGTCAAATTCCTTTTGTATTATCTTAAAAATAAGTAATGAATTAAATACTATCTCATACATAATTCAAACAAGTTCACTCCATTCTAACTCACACTCTAAACAAAAGACCTAAAGTTATTGTTTTGTTTTGATATTTTGAGACAAGAATCTTGCTATGCAGACCAAGTGAATCTGGAACTCTCTACATAGCCAAGATGGGCCTCCAACATGAGCTCCTTTGCCTCTGCCTCTCCAGTACTGGGATTACAAGCATATGAGACCACACTCAGCTCCAAAAAGTATTTTTAACAAATTTAACAAATTCCAAAGCAACTCTTGAGTGAACTGCTCAGTTACTGTTCAATGGCAACAACATAAAAATATTACTTTAAAATTTATATTATTCCTTTTTCATATATACATCATTTATCCTCACAACAACCCTGTGAGGTAGGGAGAAATTCTGGTATTATTATCTGTCTCAGAAGGGGAAACTGAAGCACACAGAAGTTAATAAGTTCCTTAGTGTCAAAAAACAAAACCAAACAAAAACAAAAACAAAAACAAAAAACAGTAAGGTCAAACTAAATGCAGCAGGAGTGAAAGGAGAACCAATGATGCCAAGATGTGTAAATTTTAACTTGAGAACTAAAACATTTTCAAAATTGGAAAAATCTGGCCTTCTAGAAGACAAAAATCAATCATCTCATAGTATGAAAGATGAGAACATTTGTAAGAATATTGAAAATATATCCTATGTTTTCCATTCTCACCAGTAATAACAGAAATAATAACTAAGGGGCTGAAACAATGGCTCAGTGGTTAAGTGCACTGGCTATTTGTTCTTCCAGAGGACCTGGGTGCAATTCCCAGCACCTACATGGCAGCTGACAACTCTCTGTAACTCCACCTCAGGGCATCTGGTACCCTCATACAGACATACTTGCAGACAAAACACCAGTGCACATAAAAAATAAATAAATACATTCTAAAAATTAATAATAATAGCAAACAAAGGCTATGACTTCCTCAGCAGACTATCCAAATGTGAAATCCCTAAATAGTGTGATGTGATTATTAAAAATACTAACACAATTATAGAAAAGTGAATTAGCATTAAGGAATTTAAATCATACTGAAGCTTAAAAAAAATAAATAAAACAAAACAGCCAAAACCTTATGGGAAATCACCACTATCTGAAAAAGGAGGGGGGAGGAAAGGTGGGTGGGTGATAGGAGCAGAGCATATCTGACAGGCTTGTTTGTCATACAGTGGCACAACTTTTCTTTAATTAGAGGCTAGACATGTTTTACTCTGCCAGTGCTGCTTCTGAAAAGGCCAGAGGTTGCAACAGAGAGACAAAGAGTGCTCTCTTTCCCCTAGATGCCAAGTGAGGTTTCCAGTGTTCCCAGCCCCTGTCAGCCTAGGAATGAAGAACCAAGAAAAAAATCAAACTGAGTGCCACAATGCTAGCAGACTGTGTACAAAATAATTTAACCACAGAAATGTCAAAGTCAAATCAAACTGAGACTGTATTTTTAAAAGAGAATTAATTTCAAGAAGCCATAAAAGTAAACAAGAAAAACAATGTACTACTAAACCTCATTTTAAGACATCCTAAAATTTTGGAAACATAAATAACAAACCTGGTTGCCACATTCTGTTAAAATTTGAATCCCCTTGAAAATTTCCATGATTATTTGGACCAGACTCCATTGCAGGCATATCCTGTCCATTTGGCATCATTCCTGGTGGTTGTTCTACGATGCTCTGCTGTCCTGAAGCTTCTCTTTGTGCAATCCAAGCTTGGGCCAAAGCAGCCCAGTCAATCTGGCCTAAAGTAAATTAACAGAATTTTGCATTCAGAGTGTAGGAGTGAAGCACTTCTCTATACAACAAGCATCTCAACTATTCCGTTATTTTTCTTCTCCTCATATATGTGTGTGTGGTGTATATACATATGTATGTCTTTATGTGTATGGTTGTATGTGCATTTGGAGGCCTGATGGTAATCTCTTCTTTACCTCATCTACACTGATCTTTGAGGAAGGCTCTCTCAATCAAACCCAGAGTTGTCTGACAAGGCTAGTCTCCACAGTCAAGTTTGCTTAGTGATGCCTCTCTGCCTTGTGAGGCTGGAATCACAGGTGAGCCATTACATACCCAGCATTTAACATGGCTTCCAGTTATCTCGCTTGCATGGCAAGTGTTTTAACTCCTGAACCATGCCCCTGGCTCCTTCCTTCTCTTTCTTCTTCCCTCAATCTTCCCCTTCCTTTCTTCCCCATCTCTGTTCTTCACCCTTCCCCTTTTTCATTATCCCTTATTACAAATGATACTTAACTATTATACAAAATTATGCCTATAGGATGCTTAGAAAATAATTCATATTCAGACCAAAATACACAGGAGTTTCAGAAAAGGACTCTATAAAAAATACTCTTAGCCAGGCGAAGTGGCAAACACCTTTAATCTCAGTGCAGGCAGAGGCAGGAGGATCTCTGTGAGTTCCACCAGCCTGGTCTATACAGGGAGCTCCAGGACAGCCAGGACTACATAAAGCCTGTCTCAAAAACAACAACAAAACAAAACATAAAAAAAAAAAAAAAACCCAGTAACTCACTCTCCCACTCTTACTCTCTATTTTAACATTATCTCACAGAGAATTTGACTCTCTACCTTAGTTTACTGAGTATTTAAAAAGACACAAAAGCCATAAGACCAGTATAAAAATAAGCAAACTCAATTATTTCTTCCTTCAGAATGTTCTGTTCTTTCCAGACTGCCTTTGAGCCTACACAAGATAGAGAGTGTAACTTTCTATCATTGTTCCATCTCACAGCTGTCCTCTTACACTCACTGCTGTGAAAAAAATACCTCTTCAGCAACTTCAAAACTCACTGCTCCAACTTTCAGGTTTTTCCTCTCCAAAACCTATACTAAAATTCTAAGACCTATCATTACTAACAATAAAGTAGTTTAGTCAGGTTTCAATAAGCATCTCATACATTTTAATGTAACAGAAAACTGATGTAATCTGGAAGGATGGAATTAGAACTTGGCCAAATATACAAATATATCTTAAACTTCCCACTCTGTAACTGTAATCTAGCAAATCTAGCACTTTTACTAAGAAAATAACTTTATTACGTACACAAGATTAAATTACCCGTTTTAAGCCTGGAAAGGTATAAGCAACAAAAAATCCAGAAGTCTTGCTGATGCTATCTTGTTGGTTTATATTAGAATAAAATATTACATTAAAATGGTTATGTGGCTATTTAAAAAAATAAAAACAAGCAGGATGTGGTAGTACATGGATGTAATCTAAAACTTGGGAGGCAGAGATAGGAGCACTGTTTGAGGCTATCCTGGGCTATACAGAATATTCTTACCCAGTCTGTGCTGTATTATAAGACTGCCTCAAAAAAAGAAAAAACATCTCCCTAAGGACATCAGTGTCCAAAAAACAAAAACCAAACAAAACAAAAAACCACACAGATCAAACAAAATTGGCCATAACTAAGAACTAAATGAGGCTCCTGATGTTTTAATTTTTACCTCTATATTCTTTTTTTGGTGGGGTGGGGGGTGTTGGGGTTTAAGACAGGGTCTATGTATGTAGCTCACGCTATCCTGGGTAGTCTCAAACTCAGAGATCTGCCTGCCTCTGCCTCCCCAGCGCTGGGATTAAAAGTGTGCACCACCACCACCACCCAGCATAAGAAACTATGAGTTTAAAAATGTAAAACTTACAAAATTTTCTATCCTTCAAGAAGAATGCATTTATCACTAAATAGCAAGGCTAACTCCATCAATGAAGTGGTTCAATAAGCCAATCTGAATGCTATCATCTATATCCTACCCATTTCCAAATGCCGACCTAGGCATGCAAATGTAGTTATTTTCCTTACTTGGATCCTGCTGGTGCTGAAATGACTGCATCCACTGTTGCTGGTTCAAGGGCCATTGCTGCCAAGGTTGTCCTCCTTGATCCCACATCCTTTACGTTTCTAAGTTCAACAAATTAAACACAGTTAAAGCTGCGATTTTTTACATTTCAAAACTTATACATCAGAAACTTCATGATGATATATTTTACATGATGAATGAACTATAATTCTATTCAGAATGTTGCTACAAATAGATTTAGGTTGAAAGGCAAGAACAGAAAGGTGTTCCTGGTGTCAGAGTTTGGTTAAAAGTACAGTATAGATCATGGAGAAATCTAGAGACAGCTGAACCAAGCTCATGAACTATACCTGTGGAGATTCCAGGGCACCAGGCTAGGCCTGCCATATGTGAGAGACAATTGTGAAGCCTGGACTATCCGAGGGGCCCCTGGCAGTAGGACCACCATACAAGCCTGGCACATGAGTTAGCTTGTTTGGATCTGACTCCCTATGCTCAGCCTTAATGCATGGGAGAGAGGCCTGGCTCTGCCTCAACCTATTGTGCCAGACTATGTTGACTCCTAATGGGAGCCCTTACAAGTGAGGAGTGGACTGGGGGTGGGCTGAGGGTAGCCTAGAGGGGGTGGGAAGAGGCAAGGAGGGAGAGGAGGTGTGGGAGGGAGAACTGTGGTTGCAACGTAAAATGAAATTTTAAAAATTTTAAAAATGGCAAAAAGTTCATTTCTAATCACCTATACTTAAAGAAGCAATACATATTTTATATCATGTGTATATACATAAATTTCCCAGTATCACTAGAGATCCAATTATTTTAACTATAAAACGTGATTCATTCAATCCTCAAACTCCTTTGAAAGAGTTATAGCTGTAGCAGATGAAGAAACTTGTTTTTGTAATTACAGCAAATAATAATAATAAGCACAGAATAGCAAATCTAATACCTGATTAAGAACTTTTTCAAACACTGTATAACCTAACCCTGTTCAAGAACCAATAACAAATTAATCCCAGCATTCAGGAGGCAGAAGGATGATCTTTGTGACTTCTAGGCCAGAAAGACCCACACAGTGAGATCCTGTCTCAAACCACGCCCCTGCATCCCACCACAAGTAACAAGGCTAGAAACAGTTCAGCAATTAAGAGTATATAAGTGATCTTGCAGAAGACCTATGTTTGGATCCAGCACCACATGAAGTGGGCTCACAATCACCTTTTACTCAAGCTCCAGAAATGCAGCTATACATACACACACACACAGACACACACACACCCCCCTACCTACCTACCTACCAATTTTAAAATCTCTCTCTCAGGACTGGAGAGCTGGCTCAGACATTAAGAGCCCTTGCTGCTCTTCCAGAAGACCTGAGTTCAATTTCCAATAATCTCATGGTGGCTCACAACCATCTGTAGTGAGATTTGGTGCACTACACCTAAACGCTGTATACATAATAAATAAAATCTTTAAATCTCTCTCTCTCTCTCTCTCTCTCTCTCTCTCTCTCTCACACACACACACACACACACACACACACAGACACACACAGAAACAAACCTAACACATAACTTAAAAATCTTTAGGGGCTAGAGAGATGGCTCAGCAGTTCTTGCAGAAAACTCAAGTTTGATTCCCAGCAGCCACATAGTGGTTCACAACCATCCCTAATTCCAGTTCCAGAGAATCTGAAGTCTTCTTCTGACTTCTACTTCTGACTTCTAGTGGCACCAGCCACACAGGTGGTACACATATTAAATTAAATACATCCATCTAAAAATTTTTTAAATAAAAATAAATCTTTAGAAAAAGAGCCAGTAGCATAGGCTGACAAGAAGGCTATTGTGGGTAAGGAGACATAATGCCAGGCAAGAGCTACTGTTCAGAAATAGTGTTTGACAGATTTAGACTGAGAAAAGAAATATGGGGTGGGGGAGCCAAAATGACAATAAAAGTCAAAGTATCAGGAGCCACTAAAATGTTTATTCAATTTTTTTTTTTTTTTTGCCTACATGTATGTCTGTGTGAGAATGCTGGATCCCCTGGAACTGGAGTTATAGACATGTGAGCTGCCATGTGGATGCTGGGAATTGAATTTGGGTCCTCTGGAAGAGCAGCCAGTGCTCTTAACCTCTGAACAATCTCTTCCAGACTCCCACTAAAATGTTTTAACTAAACCATAAGAATTGTCATGTGGGAGGTGTCTATAGAAAATAGATAAGCAAAGGCAACAGAATTTAGGCAAAAAGTTGACTAGAAAACAATGAATTAATCAAGTATGTAATATATACTTTTGTATGTTTTAAGCCAGCACAGTACTTAATCAACAGCAAGACTGATTTTATGGCATAGAATTAGAAGACTTATTCTCATCCCAGCACTCGGGAGGCAGAGGCAGGCGGATCTCTGTGAGTTCGAGGCCAGCCTGGTCTCCAGAACGAGTGCCAGGATAGGCTCCAAAGCTACACAGAGAAACCCTGTCTCAAAAAAACAACAACAAAAAACAAACAAAAAAAGACCTATTCTCTATTTCTTCATGTTCACCATAAAATCTTTATACTAAAGAACAAATGCAAAACCTATAAAACAGAATAGTTTTGACTCCTTACATACAGGAGTCAAAGCACACAGATTATAGTGCCAGGGGTGGTAGCCAGCAATAAGGGGACAGATATCTGAGTTCACAGTCAGCTTGGCCATATGTCCATACCAACTTTCAGGCCAGTTTTGAGACCCTATCCCACAACCAAACAAAAACCATACAATTTTGTCCTTCAGTATTCATGGATGATTGATTTGGTATCCACAGGATACCAAAACTTTAGGATGCTCAGGTCCCTTATCAAAAATTACATTTTTGATACATAAAACAAAAATCTGAGTATGTTTAGTATAGATCCATTTTACCAAGAATTTCTGATCTGCAATTGGCTGTAAATCTATAACCCACTGACAGACACAGAATTCACCTTTTTTTTTTTTTCTTGAGATAGGTAAAGGCAAGCAAACTATTGCTCAACTAAGCCTACAGATCCACTAAGTTTTAACAACAGTCTTACATTATGAAAAATCCTAAGTAACATACTGGGTGAGTAATGACTTGTAAAATATCAACTACTGAAGGTGGTACCAACTATATTTGTTATATATTTCTGTCTAAAAATCTCTAAGTTAAAGGTAATATGCTATTGTTCTTATAAGGGTTTTGTAGTTCATGTTTTATTTGGGTTCAAACAAGAATTTTCTTGAAAACAGAGGAAGTATTACTGGAATGCTCCACCACCGTGTTTTGTCTATATTAAAAGGTTAGGTCATTCATTTATGTTACCCACTGAATACATAACTTTAACCATGAAAAGCACATTTTAATATTACTATTTATTTCTTCAGTTTGATTTCTAGTACCCAGGGAAT